GGGCAGGCCCCTCATGCCCCTGTGCTCTCCCCCTCCTTCTGTTCCAGCAGTGCTGCGAGCCGCTCTCCTCATCCAGAGGTGGTACCGCGCGACCATGGCCCGGATAGAGATGAGGCGCCGCTACAGCCTGAACATCTTTCAGTCGATTGAGTATGCCGACGAGCAAGCCCAGCTGCAGGTCTGTATCTTCAGCTGTGCCGCGGCACTCAGCTGTATTGGCACCAAAACGCTGAAGCTGCGCTTGCAAAATGGGTGTGGGGTTGTGCTTCCCCCTGCAAAGCTGGGAGCTTTCTGCACAAAGCTGTATAAAACCGCTTCCTTGCCTTGCACGTGAACTGTGTAAGTTTTGTGAAACTGCACAGGCAGCAGGACATCGTTCTGCCTGTACAGTCACATCTAGGTTAGACGTTTCTGCTCTGTTAGCCAAGGACTGCAGGTCATTGCACTATGGGTGATCTTAACTGTGCCAGTGAGGTTAGACACGTGCAAGAGAGATGTCAGTATCTCGGCAAGTCATCCCAGGCCTCCTTTAGGGTCTGTACAGGGTATTAGAGTCTTCTAGGGCATTGCATTCATCCCAGTGTCAATCTCTAAAGTGAGTCAGGTGAATTATGGTGGTTTCTATTGGTTATAGAGGAAATCAAGGCAAATCATTTAGATTGTCAGTAAAATGAATTACACCCCAAAATGTCAGTAGAATAGATACAGGCCCGGGGCTTTGTATGTATTCATATAGCGTCTCAGTAAAATGAATTACACCCAAAAATGTCAGTAGAATAGATACAGGCCTGGGGCTTTGTATGTATTCATATAGCGTCAACCTGCTAATTCGCAATAAGAAAGAAAGGAATATGCTGCAATTCTTGTAGTAGGACACAGGTTGGGTCTTGAATGTAGGCTGATGCTATGGGAAGGTACAGTGGAGTCTTAGATCCCCCAAATAGGAAATTAGTAGTAACTGACTAAGAAAAGAGAATGGTAATGCCTGCTGGAACTCATCAATATGTGTTTGTTCTTTTCCTTATGCAGTTATCCAACTTTTTTACATTCATGATGGATCACTTTTCTCAACCTGGTGCAGGTAAGGATAAAAGTCAATGTAATAGGGAGATTCTGTTTGAAAGACTTAATGGGAGATAGTTAAATTTTAAAGTGTTAAATTTTAAAACTTGTTCTGGATTTTGCTGCAAAACATTGACAGAAAACTGGCTACGCTCATTATTTTTAAACCATTCTAGTTTGCAAGTATAAAATTTAGTGCTTGGGAATGTTACAGTATTCAGCATAACATGGAATATAACTGAATATTTTGGTCTAATAAAAATATCTGTGGATTTAATTTTAAGTGCCATTTAAAAATAATTTAATTTAATTTAAATAATTTAAAAATAATTTAAGTGCCACTTAAAAATAAATGGTAAGTACTATTGACTTGGCTGGAACAGATCTACCATGATTAACAAATTCTTTGTTACAGTCTGCCTGGTGTTTCCCTCTCTGTGATCCCTCTCTGAATGAGAAAGTCCAAAGCTTAGGGAGCAGTCAGACAGAAAAGCTGGAAAAATTGAAAGGCTTTTCAGTAGAGCATGTCAGGGGAAGCTCTACAACAGGAGTATATTGTATCTTTATCTCAAGAATGTATGAATGAAGCAAACATAACATAGGAGTGCAAAACTCCTATGGATAACATAGGATAACCTATTCCTTAACATGGAACACACAACCTAATCAATATATAGATGGTTAGAATGAATAATTTAAATTGATAAGGATAAGTGTTTAGTAGGCAGCTCAATTAAAGCGTTCAAAGAATAACCTATAATTTTTGGAGTATTAGGGGATGCTAAGACAGAACTCAAGTTCAACAGAAGGCCAGATTGAAATTGACCTTCTAATTCCAGAAGACAAACACCTATTTCCCCCTATTTCCCTGAACAACTTGCTAATACATCTGATCCCATATGAGTCAAAAGGATGCTGCCTACCTCTTATTGAATCATAGGAGGCTATCCTTTCTCCTCCATCTGGTTCAGGCACCTGCTACTCCAATTAAAATTTGCACAAGACATTGAGAGGAGAGTGAAACCACAGTGAAACCCTAAGTGGTTCAGTGTTCTAATGACAACCATTACAAATTGCATTTTTTCTCCCTTAAATACTTTAGAGTGCTTAATGATCTTGGGTGCTCTGCAGAGAAGGAAATTAGGTTTACACCTTGCTCCAGAGCCAAGACAGATGATACCATAGTCCTTCATTTTGAAGTTGTCTGTTGTCCCTGCATTCTGAAAACAACCTGCTTTAATCATGGGACTTCCTGGGAAGGAAGTGGTGCTGTCAAAGAAAATCAGACTCTGCTCACATCATTTACTTTTCCTGTGTGCCATGGTTCAGCTTATCTTCTGAGTGGGAAACAAAATATTAGTGCTAACCCTGAGAATTGGGTAAAATGACATTAATCTCCGTCGTCATTAAAGTATCAAAAGGGAATTTTACACGTGCCCCCTGTAGATGTGATTTGTCCACCTTTATTAAGTAAGTCTATTGGCAGAAGGGCCTGGAGTGGCAGAGGCGATGCAGGCTCTTCCCTGGCAGAGCCCAGGAGTGGCCTAGGTGCAGACGCAGGCTCTCCCTGTGCCAGGGTAGGCTGACCTCTTTCTTGGGACAAGTATTAGGAGTTGCGGACATGGTTAAGGCTAAACCACATGAAAAAAAAAATGTATAGTTTATGGTAAAGCTCCCCTTTGTCTTCCTTATGCAAAACTTCCATCTGCTAGGACTGAAAATGGTAGAACTTGAGATCTGCCCCGAAGACTTCATTTTTGTTTTGGTTTGTTTTTCTCTGTGTAGTATCCCATGCAACTTATATCTAGGTTTTCAAAATAGAGAGGCAGCCTAGGGCCTTCTATCTGAAATGGCTGACTTAGATTTTTAGGTAGAATATGTTGAATTCAAGATTGAATTTGCGTTGTAAGGGTTTCGGGTTAAGCTTGTCCAAATACTGCCTGCATGCACACTTCATTTTAAGCTCGTGGTTGTCTGCCCTTCTTTGTGGCCTTGGCAGTGCCTTTGCTATCCCTCATTTAAGCAAAATCAGTGCTGGATGTAAAGTTTCTTAAGCAAGTGCTTCCATTTCTGCTGAGTCACAGTCTTAAGGTGTGAGACACTGTGAATGCAAACATAACAAGCAGAGAGGCTTCAAATTAATTTTGTTATTCCCCAGTATATTCTAAAACCTGCAAACTTTAGCTCTCTGCCTTTTTGTTTTTCTTCTGTGTGTGCTCACTTAAATTACGATGGTAGGATGCGATTCAAAAGCCCTCTCTCTGAAGGTAGTATCCAATATTCTTACCAGAGCCCAGGTTATCTGTCCTACTTGGTGTTGGATGATGAGAAAGCTACCTGCTAGTTTTGTGACCATTTTTCCTTCTGTTATAAACCATTGAATCTCCCCTACCATCACATCCTTTCCTCTTTTTAATCTGCTCCTTCAAAATATGTTTTATTAAAAGAGCAAGCAGTCACTTTCTCATTAGCACAGTAGTGCTTTTCCTAGGTCTGTTTATCTGCCATACCCCGTAGCTTTTTTCATCCTGTCATCCTGTTTGAGATGTCGGTGCAGTTTAAATCATGAGCCAGTGCATCCCGTGGGATAGCGCATAGCTGTGTATCCGAGCCAAGGAATTAGCTGCTTTCCATTACTTTTAGTTGACCAAAATGAGGACTCCTGCAGGATCTATCTCGCATGGGGCTGTGGCAAAGCTGGGGACTCCTTGCTCAGGACACGCTGCCCTGCCGGCTGCCTTAGGGCATCTGTTCCTGGATGAGAGGCTGCCTGCTCCTGGGTGAGACAGGAAGGAGCCTTAACATCTAGCTGAGTGTCCGGGGAGGAGGCATAAGAGCTTTCCAAGGCTAATGACACAGCTGGCTCTTCACTCTGCATCCAGCAGCAGAAAACGGGGTGCTCCCCTACCCCAGGGAAGGCAACTGAGTTGCTCTGCCTGGGCAAGTGCCCAAAGCCAAGAGAGCCGGTGAGGCCGGCGGGCCCTGGATCAGCGCTCGTGGCGGGTGCGAGGGAGCAGCCCTGCAGCGGGCGGCCAGCCGCTCCCGAGGGCAGCGATGAGACAGCTGATGGAAGTGCAGGTGAGGCCGCGCTGGGGGAGCTGCGCGGCCCGGGCACCTTGCTCCAACCCGAGGGTGCTGCCAGCTCGCAGCAAGAACCTCTGGAAAACAGCGCTCTTCATCCAGAGCTGGTGAAAAGGGAGCTTTTAGCTATATGTTCCTTTAAAAAGGAATTTTCTGCAGTTACAAAACCATCCGGTCCTTATGAATCTCATGAGGCCACATGCAGGTTTCAGCTGCTGTCAGTTTTCTATCCCAGCCATAGGTTGCCTCCAGCAATAAATAATACATCTCTCTCTTCAGCTGCATCTAATGAAGGTTACAGAACGCTTAGCTGCAAGCCAGCAGAAGTAGTTATGCTGGTCACCTCACAAGAGCAGCCCCGTAACAGTCACTGCTATGAACACTGTCATTTAGCCTTCCAGCTCTCTCTTTTGCCAGGAGAGATGGTAAAAGGCAATCTGCAAGAAGAACACACTTGATTCTGCCTTCACGCAGGTGTATATATCCAAAAATATTGGATCAAAGCAATTAGCCCTGTTCCTGCTATCTCCGTGCTCCAGGAAAATCAGGAGAAGCTGTGCTCTACTTTTACTACTATGCTTGTGTTTACTCTGTTTCATCCAGTGATTTTATGGCAGCCAGCCAAAAGCTGGCCTTGCCTCCAGTGCTTTGCAAACCACTGGGAAGAAATTGCATTCTATTGTTGGCCTTTTAAATCTTCAGTAAGCTTCTGGTGTTACAGGGAAAATGAGAGTAGATTTTTAGCATGTGTATTAGAAATGTAATATTGAGTTGTAGATGGGTGAAGGTCATTGAATGTTCAGCTTTGACTCTCAAATCTCCTTGCCCTGGAGGGGACGGAGGAGCAGCTCTGTGACAGGTTATGTCTCTCGGTGTCTGGGAGAGCAGGTTGTTCCTGAATGTCAGTGCAAAATGTTTTATATCCTGACCACAGCTACTAGCCGTTGTCTTTTTTTTAGCATTACACAAAAAAAAAAAAAAAAAAAAAAAAAAAAAATTGGAGAGATCTGGAGCTGTGTACAAGACAGAACCAAACCAACAACTGTAATACTTCAGCAAATGAAGCATCAGTTACACTCACTACGTCTGGTCACACTGTTGTCACACGTGGGGGACCTGTGGGGGTTTCTACATTGTCACACTGTAGGTGTTTCTACATTGTTGTTTTTCTTCCCTCTTGTTCCAGATTCCAAGGACTCTAGAGATTTAGAGATGACAGAGTCAAGCTTCAGTTTAGCAGAGTTTGAAAGGAGGATTGATGTCCCAGACTCCTATTATGGGCCACGACTCAAATTCCCCCTCACTGCTGCAGATGCCAATGCTCTTCTTGATGCTTTCAAGAATGAAGAGGTGGGTTGCAACTATTTTTATTCCTTTTTTTTCTCATTCTACCTCTCCATCAAGCTCCACAATCATCTGAAACCACTGTAAGGCTGTACTGGTGCCAAGGTGGGTTTCTGCCTTCTTTTCCATGCCTAGTTATGCTTTTCTGCTGCTCCTTGTCTGACATGGTGCTGGGAGGTAACCCAACAAAAACCCAGATGGTCACTTCTCAGCTGGACTCAGTCCCAGGCTGGGCTCCCTGCTTGGGCAGCACTGGGGAAAGGGCAGGGACTGCTGAGCATCTCCTCTTCTGGGACTCAGATTGTGGTGGTCTCCAAATGGGAGCCACCAGCAGTTGTTAGATGGGAAGCAGTGGGGATACAGGATGGGGAAGATTCCTTAAGGCAGCCCAGAGACTTGTTATCTTCTTTTTTACTTTGTTCAAAATAGAAGTGTGCCAGCATGGCCCGAAGGACACTTTTTGTTCTCTCTCTCTCTCTCTCTCTCTTTCCTCCTATATTTTTTTAGAGGAAAAATAGCCCCCAAGTGCTGGGGTTAATCGCCTTATTCCAATGCGTGAGACCCCCCAAAAGGGAGAGAGTGAAGACAAAGCATTGCAAACACAGCTGAGCAAGGTGGTATCACAGACCTCCTGAGCTGTCTTTCTGCTGCTGCCAAGGCCCTGAAAAGGTTCCGTGCTGGTCCTCTGTGCTCTCTAGGAAGCCCCTTTGCCCCTAAGATGGAAGCAGGACAGGGGGGCATCACCTGGCCCTGCTTTGTTGGATCTCTTAAAGTTCAGCATTTAGGCTTAACAGGGTGTTTACTAAAGGTAGGGGATAGCAATCTATCTTGGTTCTTAATTTACTAAATAATGCACTTTTTTGTCTCTAACTTTGTGTGGAGGCTGCTCTTACAAGTAGACAGATATAAAGCACGTGTTAGGTGAGAACACCCAGCCTTCATGGTCAGCTCTCTAATCCCTTACTGCGGTCAGCACTTTTTTGAGGAAGTGATTATGTGTAATTGGCTTTTTTGTTTGTTTTGGAAACATCCATCTTGCAAAGTCAATCTGTGGCCTGTCTCCTGTACCAAACTTCCTCCAAAATTCCTGTATTTGAATTAAAAGCCTTAAAAATCACTGCCTGACAAAATCATCCTAAAAAGCATTAACAGAGCAGAAGACCAGAAAAGCACTTTTAGACGAACAAGGACATAAATCTCTTCAGAATCCTTAAAGAGTGAATGTTTCATTCTCACAGTGTGTGAGCAGAAATAATGAGCAGAAAGATAAGTATTAATGAGGCAACAGTTATTGGAGTTTCCCTCAATCATGTGTTTGCAATTTACTGAAAAATCATTTATGGCTTTTTTTTTTCCTCTCTTCCTTTCTTAACTTGCAGGTAGGGCCTGGTTTTAGTTTCTTTGACCTCTTCCTTTCTTAACTTGCAGCTAGAGGTAGGGCCTGGTTTTAGTTTCTTTGACCAGATGAATTTATGCTATGGTTCTAGGCGTGGTACTACCTACTTTCTTATCCTTTCTTCAGAAGGGGAGAGTAAAACAGCACAGCGGGAATAAGGTGGGGAAATAAAAAAAAAGTTCATTAAGGGCCTCATATCTATTCACTGGGAAGGGAGAACAAACCTATGAACATTCCTAATTCCTCCACTAACCCGCACAGCCTGGCCTCCTATTTTAAGGAGGGTTGTAGTGTAAATAATCTGATACAGTTTCTTGACAATGACTGCATCTGGTATCAATGAAGCAGGCAGACTTCTTGCTGCTCCTAATGAGCCTCCCTTGTCTCGCCACATTTTTCCCCCAGCTGCTTCATGCCCGCTACGTCCTGCAGCTGTTGCATGAAACCAGGAGGGTTCTTAAGGAGATGCCGAACATCACTTACCTTTCGACGTCCTACTCCAAGGAGATAACTGTCTGTGGTAAGGGGCCAGGGCAAAGATCTGCTCCTGGCAGCAGGCTGGTACCCTAGGCAGTTGGGGGGTGATATGAATGTTTCCAGTTGCAGCCATCACAAGAACATTCTCGATTTTTTTTTTGAAAAGTGCAAATTGGCAGAAACCAAGAAAAATAAGGTTACTGAGTCACCATAGCATATTTTAAGAAAGTCTTTCACCTCCTTTTTCCTTTTCTCTTCTCGATAAGTGTTTCTGAATGAGTCAGTATTAAATCAGCCAACACTGCAATGTAGCTTAAATATTGCTGCATTTCCAGCACGGAGTGTGGTGATGACTGGCTGCCACTCTCACCATTTTCTCCTCTTACTGAGAAAAAGACTTTGGCATTGCAATTTACTCGGTAATGCCTTTAATGAGAGCTTAATAGGGGTTGCAAAAAGAAAAGACCTTGCAATGAGAGCATGACTGTCTGGAATAAATTGAAATACGTAATAAACTCTCATTTCTAAAGGGACTTATGGGGATGAATCAGTCCTTGTACAACAGACGGATTAGCCTCACAGAACAATGTGAGGTGTCCCAAGGTAAAGGTCTCGGAATAAAGAGACCATTGCCCATCACTTTATTATGCTCTTGTAAATTATGGATAAAGGGATACTGCATCACAGCTTGTCATGGAGGGAATGGTGGCAAAACGGAGCAAAACGGAAACATTAACTAGGAGAGCTAACAGTGCCTGTGTTGTGTGCAGTAGGAAAGGACACTCTGACGCATGCTGAACAGCTACTAATGTTTCTACAAGATGTGGTTATGCACCTCCTTTGATTGCCAGGCAGGGAGTTGTTTAAATGGGATTTTGCATAAACAATAATTCATTAATCAAGCAGACAGACCCTCTCTCCAAGGCAAGGGAACATGGATTCATATTTGTTCACTGTACAGTGAGCATACCTCCTCTTAGCTGCAGCAAGCAGCATCTAGAGGGTTCCCCTTCCTGCTCATCAAAGTTACAGCTTTTGTAATCAAAAAGATCTTCTGTGAAAGACAAAAGACCAGATTTTTAAAGGTATCAGGATCAAAATGTTGATTTCCTTAAAATAAGGTGTCCCCCATATCTTTTTAATTTCAAAGAGTAGTGAGGATTAAACAGGCATCTGAAATGTTTGCACCTCCCATGTGATGTAAAATCTGTCGTTAGCCGAAAGCAGCCCTCAGAGTGACTTCAGCAGGCTCTGCATGAATACCAAAAGTTGCCCAGGAGACATATGGACAGGGCAAAAAATGCCACATTGTCTCTCTCCCCCCCACACTTTTTTTTAAATTTTTTTTCTCCAATCGGCAGTGCTGAATCCGTATTGTCACAAGGTAACCAACCGTCCAAGGTGTCCTGTGCCCTTGTGGTGGTGATGGCGGCCAGGAGCAGGCAGGCTCTGTGTGAAGGTGATTTGCTGCCCTGCAGAGCACTCTCTACCAGATCACAGCTGCTGTAATCAACCCCGGGCCCTGAGTCACCCCTCAGGATGCCTAGTGCCTGGGGTGCAGTGGACTTACTCAATACATTTAAAATCTTGTAGTAATCAGAGGTCTGTTATATTTCTGAAGTGCTGATTCATTTCAGTAACATGCCGTGTTTCTCAGATGCACAATGTAGTTGTTCATCTTACTCGCATTTCTCTGGACTAATTTTTTGGCTGTGTGGCTGGACTGATCTTCCGATGCTGTTGGAAAGACCAAAAAAAAAAAAAGCAAGACGTACAAACTCTATTTAGTTGCCAGATTTCATTGAGCAGCTTGAATATGTGTCTTAAAACGCTGTAGTGTTATTGCAAAGCAAATTATAAAAGGGAAGCATAAGGGAAAAGCTAGGACTAACTCATGTTTTTAATTCTATTTTTCTCTCTTCTTCCCTCTTTTGTGACAAAACAAAACATGTTTTTGTTTCTTGTAGGAGATTTGCATGGAAAACTGGATGATCTTTTGATGATATTCTATAAGGTAAGTAGGTGTCCTGTGACATAGCATTTTGAATTCAAGGCTTGCTGTTAAGAACGCTTACTTACTTAATAGCTTTCAGCACTTTGAGTGGTACATGTGGTGTGCATGCATCACACACCTACATGTGCATACACACACACACAGAAAAAGTAATAATTTGAATGGTCTGGGTCTGTCTAAATGACAAGATGGAGTATGAACCAAAACTTAAGAGGGTTCCTTGCAATATCTCTAAAGTCGTGTTGCTGTGTTATGCTCTCTATTGGCTCAGGTTTTCTAAAATCACGAGCTAACTTAGTTTATCATGTGTCTGTACATTATAGATAATTTTAGCCCTCTGCAATGAATGCAGAAGCTTTCTTGGCCCCATTTACACTTTCCATCAATACCTGCAAAATGGTCTTTTGTTATTATTTGTTTACAGGAAGCCTTTTAAAAGCCTTTTAATTCTTGCAAGTAGTCAAGTACCTTGCACAAAATGGATGTGCTTTGGACACCATTTATGGAACCAAAGCTTTCAACAGCTGTCCACTTTTCATGTTAAACAAAATGATTCTGTTTTATTGATGTGAAAAAAGCTTCAGGCAATCTTTTCCACAATTGCGTATTCAGTGGAAGATGCAGGAGTTTTCCTGTATTTTGTTTCACATTTCTCTCTAGCATGAATCACCACCTTTCATGTAGCAGATATCCCCCCTGATTTGAATTTTCAGAGGGAGAGGGTTTGTGTTTGATGGTTATATGTTCAACGGCTCTGAAAGGAGGCTGTAATGAGTTAAAGCAGCTGCTTCAATGGTACAGTTCCCCCCTGCTTCCAGCCCACATTTGCTGAGTGCAAGACTTGACCCAAGTGCACACCTGAAGCTTTATTTTAAGCAGATCTCTGCAGGGCTCAGCTTTTTGTATGAATCTATAACTTTTAGCTGATCCTTGGCTTGTTGTATTTAAACTGCTACTTTGACTAGATAATATTCCTGTTTGAAACTGGGTGTTAGACCAGAATAGGAGTATGATTCAGATTGGTTTCATCCACCTCACCTGGGATGGAACAAAAGAGGGATTTTTGAAGGTAGATGCTCAGGTGTAGCTATATTTATGTGAAGAATTGACCTCACACTCCTTCAGAGCTGGCAGCAGATGATTCCTTTTTCCTTCTCTAATGGGATGTTCCAAAGGAAAAATTTTCCTAGAGCAAATGTGAGAACTCAAGGCTAGTAAATTCGGATAAAAAGCTGTCATAGATTTCATGGCCTAGAGTTCAGCCCTCATCATTCTGCACTGCTGAGGGACTCCTTCCACCAAAGTAAATAAAATGGGGGGATATTTTGCTATTACTTCACAGGGTTTGAGAAAATAGAGAGCACCTGATAGAGCTGCTTACGTATGTAGAAGCAAATGCACAGTGGCAGTATTTCCTGTCCCCTATGAGCAGTTTATTCAGTGGAGCAGCAAATCCTGTCAGCCTCTGGATCCACTTTTTCCCTGTCAGCTCAGCTATAAACTAGACAGAGGGTCCCTCCTCAGGGGTGGCACAGGCCACCCGTACCAGTCACCCAGGGATCATAGAATCACAGGATGGTTAAGTTTGGAAGGGACCTCTAGAGATCATCTAGTCCAACCCCCCTGCACACGCAGGGTCACCTAGAGCACGTGGCACAGGACTGCGTCCAAGCGGGTTTTGAAGATCTCCAGAGAAGGAGACTCCACAACCTCTCTGGGCAGCCTGTTCCAGTGCTCTGTCACCCTCACTGTTAAGAAATTTTTCCTCAAGTTCCTGTAGAGCTTTTGATGCTTTAGTTTGTGGCCATTACCTCTAGTTCTGTCGGTGGCCACCACTGAAAAG